CTCCTCCCCCGCGGCCTTGGGCACACGGGCCGGCCTCCGCACGGCACCACGGCACCACGGCGGGCCGTCCTTCCCCGGCAGCGGCCGGCACCGCGGGAAGGAGGCTCCGTGGCTGGGGTGGTGGTGGTCAGAGGGAGAGCGACCCCCGCTCCCGCGCACGAGTGGCCCCCCTGAGGCTGCCGTAGGTCTCCCGGTACCGTTCGATGTCACACACCGGGCGGGAGCCGTGGTGCTCGCTGTGACGGGGCGGGCAGACACGGGGACACCGCGCTACGAAGGCTTTGGGCAAGCCGGCGCGGCCGGCCTGGTCAGTTTGGCTGATGGGCAGCGGGTCTCTGCCCACTCCCTGCTCCAGGACCTCCTTCCTGCTGAGCCGAAGCTCTCGGATGCCGTTTCCAAGCAGCCGTTTCCCAGCCAGCTTCATGGTGTGGGTACCGGAGAACAGGTGACCCGGGGCAGAGCAATGTCCCGTGGCGTGCACGCCGCCTGCCCGTGCCGGGAGCCAGAGCGCCTTCTGCAGCTCCCCCGAGACTGAGAAGTTAGCGAAGGACGGGACCGGTCACGGGCCACCCTGGCATGGTGCCACTGAGGCATCGCACGCAGCATCCGTGAATGGGGCTGCGCCGAGCATCATGTCCCTCCTTAGGTGCAGTTACAGGGCTGGGACCGCTGATGCCCGAGCTCTGGGATACCGTGAAGGATAGGTCCAGTCATCCCACCTCAGACAGGTGCCCGTGCGCAGGACAAGGAAAGCTCACATCAGGCAGGGCCACGCAGCATTCCCCGAGGAGCAGCCCCTATCCCAGCCTCATGTGGCACACAAGGGACCATGTTCCCTCTCACAGGTAATCGATGGCAGCAGATCCTGATCGCTTTCATTATTATTATTTTCTTATGCATGTGCGCACAGGAGATTTATCGCCAGCTATGGAGGCAAAATCAATTATTCATGTTATAAATTAGAAAATGATTTATGTTTGTGGGAGGCCAAGCAGCGTGGAGCCCCTAGCCGCGTGGGAGCTGGGTTTGTCTGGGAATGGCACCAGACAGCCCCTGCCAGCACTTACGTGGTTTCTCCATCCCTTCTGTCCCTTGGGTGTCCTAGCCATCCCTATCCCAGGGATGCCCCCATCCTATCACAGCCCCAGAGTGACCCAAGGATAGTGACTGGCAGGCAGAATCCAGCCTCTCCCACTCGGTAAATCAAGGTGTGAGAGCATGAAGAAGGCTGAGAACTGCCATGGCCTGGTCATCCTGGCCAGTGCAACAGAATGATGCTCCACAGCAGTTTCCATGGCAGCAGGAAAACAGTTCAAGCTCTGCAAGGTGTGGGCTGCAGAAGGACCCCCTTCTTTTTGTGCACTAGAAACATAGTCTTGTGTCCTCTCCAGCCTCAGCCACTGTGCCTGTGCTCCTGCTTCTCTCAAAGGACATGGTGGTACCCTCCAGACTGCCACCCCTATGCTCCCCAGGAAAGGGCAGATGGTCCCACCTGAACTGGTCCCTGAGCTACCCCAGAATAGTACTGTAGGCTTTGGCTTGACCATGGCTCAACTTCTCCTGGGCTAGAGTGGTCTGAGGTGTCCTGGGAGTCTTCCCAGACATGGAGATCCCACGCCCTAAAGGCTGGCTCTAGTTCTGTGTAGAGTGGCACTGGGCTCCCACTGCTCCCAGTTTTGGAACAGGGGGTCAGCTGTTGCTGCCTGGTCTACCCCCAGCCCAGCATTGCCCCAGAAACAGTGTTGGTGGGAGCTGCAGTAGCCCATGGCTCTGCATCAGTGGTCCCAGTACCTCGGTGCAAAAACCCACTGACCGTGTCATGTACCCAGCAGGAGTGAGTGCCGGGAGCCGCCAGCCGCTCTCTGCTGATAGCTGGGATTGTTCTTGCTTCTGAAGTTTTGATCTAAAGCTGCCATGTCTGTGCCTCCCAGGGGACAGCAGAGCAAGCCGGGAGTTGCTGCCTGGCTTTCCTTGTCTGTTTATCTGCAGCTGCATCAGCTGGGGCCATGGGGAGGCACAAGCTGAAAGGAGCAGTGCGGAAGAGAAAGGAGCTGTTGGCAGCCCCAGATCTGAGACTGATCTGAAGTGAGCTGTGCATCCAGCTCCTGCTTGCACAGCATTGACTAGCTTGAGCCCTGGGTCTTGTGATGGGAGCGATAGCATGGGGCAGCTTCAGCTCTCCTTGACCAGCCTTTTCTCTGTGACCCCTGGAGCCTCTTCCCAGCCACCAGAGAGTCTGCCAACTCCTATGACTCCCAGGGCTCTCAAGGAGTTGAGAACTTGCTGGCTCAATATGCTCATGGGGTGTCAGAGGGGGCAGGGATTTTGGCTGCTCCTCCCTGGCTCCTTGCCAGGGTTTGAGCAGAAGGAACATGGACAACCAGGCATGGTCCAGGGACAGGGAACCACTTTGTCCACAACCAAGGCTGTTGCATCCATGTCAGACCCCAGGCAGTCCCGGGGACCCTCTGGGACCACACAGGGGTGCAGAAGGGTCCCTGGTTGTTCTGCTCTTGTTCTAAAGGGCTCAGACAACCCAAGGAGTTCAGAGAACTGCCATCTGGAATCCCACCAAGATGTAAGCAGACAGGAAATGAATGAACCACATTCTGAGGCTGAGCATTGCCTCAAGCACCTTGCTGCACCCTGGTCCCAGCGAGCTCAGGGCTGGCCCGTGCTTGTGTGAGCATCCCTCTGATTTATTGCTGCAGAGCAAATGCTTACAGAGTGCTTTTGGCAGAGAAAAGCTCTGGGGAACAGCAAGGGGTGTGCAGGAACAACAGGGGAATCGCCTGTCAGCTCCATTGAGCCAGGGGCATGCAAAGCACCCACAGTCCTGGGTCTGTCTCCCATGCCTGGCCAGGGAACATGCTCAGCCTGTGGGGAGGGGACTGCAGAGAGCTTGGGGCTGGGGTGGATTAGATCTGCTTTGCATTATTGCACAACACACCTGGGGACTCAGCAGCTCGTGACAGTGCTGTATAATGCAGGGAAGCAGGCGGTGGTGCGGGCAGACATCGGTGCTGCCGGCGGCTGGCGGCCAGGGAAGTGGTACGGCCCCTAGGAGTGTGGGCTGGCTGTGGAGGGGGGAGCCAGGTTCTCCTGCTTCTTGTTCTGCACATAACAATGAATAGGCACAGAAGGCAGTGCTTGTGCTGCAGGAATCAATACTGCTCCAGGAGCGGCCTGGGTGCTCCTCCCTGCACTCCCGTGGGAGCCATCCCCCAGCGTCTCTCCCACAGCTGTCACTGTAGTCTCCTTCCTGCTAGTGCCTTGCTCTCCAGCACTCTGAGCAGGACTGCACAGCAGCAGGCAATGGTAGCACCAGGGCTGGGGGATTGCTAACCCGGATAGCCTGGCTCCTTTTGGAGGTGGGGGGATACAAAGGAGAGGCCTCTTGTGAGGGATCCAGGTTTTATATCGACTCGAGTTGGCCCCCATCCGTGCTGTCACAGCTCGCTCTGTCGTGGCCCGTTCTGCCACAGTCTCTAGAAGGTACCAGGGTGCTGTTGCAACCTGAAGCAGCTCCCAATCTCACCCAGCGCTGGCTGTGGCAGAGCTGCTGCATCCAGTGCCAGCCCTACCCCACGGGAATACCACTGCTTTTGATAAGCTTTAATTGATTCATCAGCTGGATCCACTTGGAGCTGATAAATCTTTCAGGAGCCCTGGCAGAAGAGGCTGAGCTGTGCAGGCTGGGCATTCCCCTGCCTCCTTGCAGCTGCATGGCTTCTCTGAAGCAGCTGGCTGCCCCAAGTGTGTCCTGCCAGCCCCAGCTGGCTGCAAGCAGCGCCCCCTTCTCCCCAGCATCCCCCATCCCCCTCAGCCTGTTTGCTCTTTCCCAGCCAAGGATGCTGCCTGGGAGGGCTGCAGCACAGTCTGATGCCTCCACCCTGCCAATATCCCTTGGCCAGGGAGCCCAATCCCAGTGCTTCTGGGGAGACACATCGTCCTTGGTTGAGAAGAGCTAATGGTTCCAGGCTCCATCACAGCACCAGCCAAGTCCTTCCTCTGTCTTCCCGTCCCCTCTCCTGTCATGCAGTCATGGGACGGAGCAGTCCCTGGGTTGAGCACTGCTGCTGGTGCATCTGCATACCAGAAGTGGCTCTGGGATCCCGGAGGGACAAGTCCAGCTCGTCCCATAGGGCCACATCTTGCAGGGGGGGTGGTGGAAAGGCTCTCGTGCCCCCACCCTGTGTCGCAGCAGGCAGGAGGGAAAGCAGGGACAGGGACTGCGGGGCAGGAGGGAAGCACAGGCGGATCCGGTTACAGGCAGCACAGGGCAGAGAGATAGGCAGAGAACAGCAATGCAGCAAAAAGGGCTTTTAGTGATAATAAATAATTAACATTTCTAATGATGTCCCGGCGACAGGAAGAGTCCAAGCGGGGACCCGGGGCACTATGCACGGTGGCAGGAGAGGCTGGGGACCGTGCGTGGTCCAGGGAGGTTGTGCAAAGACAGGTGCTGGGCTGTGAGAGAGCTGCAGGCTTGGGGGTCCCAGGGCAGGGGCTGGGCACCCCTGGAGACCCTCTGGGTGAGCAGTGTCTGGGGTCCAGCATTTACACCCTGATGCTGCCAAGGACGCAGGAAGCCTGTGAGGAAGAGGACTGGAAGACTAGATTAAACAAACTCGGGAATTAACCTGACTTCTGTGATGGTAAGGCCTTCCCAGGGCTTGCCATGCCCAGCGAGCACCTGAGAGGGACTCCTGCTGGCAGGAGGAGGGGACTGGGGAGGGATGCTGGGAGGCAAAAGCTCACAGGGAGATGCTGGCATGAGTGACAGTCGCCAGGTCACTGCCAGCCGCGACACAAAGAGACTCCCAATGCTGAGACAGGGGACATGGGAACAGTGTGATGGTCTGGGGTGCAGGACCAAAGAGAGAGGAGGTCTGTGGGCAAGACAGGAGATCAGACACTGTGGGACAGTGACAGGGAGGGGACAGCAGGGAGAAGAGGGATCAAGCAAGCAGCCATCCGAGCATGGGTGTCCATCACTGTGAGCCAGCAAACAATGGGCATGCAGACACGGGAGAGGCAAAAGCAATCCTGGGAGGAACCAGTAAGGCATTTCTGGCAGGACTGGGCACTTGCCTTCATGCCTCCATGGGCCCCAAGGACATTGCCTGTGCTGGAATCAGCCTGGAAGAGGATCAGAGGTATCATGGGGCTACCAAGGATGTATAGCCCGGGAGACCCCTGAAGGAAGGACAGCGAGGGGTGCCCAGCACAGCGCAGGCTGTGGGGAAACGGAGAGCTCACTATAAATACATCAGCAGGGTAAACACCAGGGAGGAGGAGAGCTATTTCAGCTAAAAGACAACATTAGCACAGGAACAACTGTGGATAAATTATCCATGAATACATTTACAGTGGAAATTAGACCCTTGGAGCAGGGATGTCCCAGCACAGCCCCTCCAGAGAAAAAAGCAGTGCCAGGCAAGTGCCAAGATCAGCTTGGCAGCTGAGGGATCCTGCAGCGTGTTGTGGTGGCAGCATGTGCCCTCTCCTTGTGTCAAAAAGCAGCAGGGGTATATGATGGGATGTATGCACATTGCTGCATGCACGTGTGAGTGCAGGTGTGTGTGTGTGTGTGCATGGCCTGCACACACATTTGGGTGGCAGACTGACTGCTCACACAAGCAGATAGGGTGGCTGCACACAGACTGTTGTGTGTGTGTGCATGTAGGTGCTTGCAAGTGTGCTGGCAGTGCATGTGTGTGCTGTGCACCCGCCAGGATGTGTGCAGGTGTCTGGCCCTGAAAATGCTCTAGAAAGGGGAATGACAGCTCCAGTGAAGTATCCTGGAAGTTAGTGCCTTCAGTCAGCGTTTCTGTGCTCACCT